CTTTTTAAAAAAAAAAGAAGAAGGAAGAACATTTACATCTAAACATCTTCCTCCAACACGCAGCTCTTCCAAATCCTCTGGTGGAGACAACTCTCTGAGGCCATGATGAGAGGCTCATGTAAGCAGCTCATCAGCAGACTGTTTGCCCATATGTGCCTCACACCCCTGCGTCCCCAGTGGCTCTAGGCTCTGTGCAATGAAACCATCTCATCTGCCAACATGGACCATTTTGAAAATACCCCAGTTATCATCTGACAGGCCAATCCTGCCCTCACTGGCTCAAGTTATAATTTAAAAAAAAGAAAGCAAAGTCAGTCTGACAAACAAATCAAGAGCCTGGGGCAGGTTTTGGCTGAGACACAAAGGAAAGGTCGGCCTCAGTTTTTAATACAAAAGACAAAGCAGAAAATTAAAGAAATTAAAGAAGTCAGCAAAGAAGATTCATTTCATTTGTGCTGATAACCGCATGTACAACACTTAAAAATGCACTCAATTGAAGAGGTGCTTTGGAAAGGTCACACACAGAAAGCCGGGGTCCAGTCATGTATCAGCAGTGTGTGTCTGCAGGTCCCGTATGGCGAAGGTTTGCTTATCCCCCTGCAACCTCACATATGTTTGGGGCATAGAACAGTTGGACATGGCCGAAGGCTAAAATGGGTCAGACTGACACAGATGAGGGGGAGGGCACTCCCCCCTGGGTAGCCATCATGTGACTAACACCCATAGAAAAAAAATCTAGGTGTGAATGTGAGTGGCAGATGATGTCAGAACATTGGTGCAGCTAAAACAACCGAATTTTCTAATAAAATGAGGCTGGAAAGACAGTAATTTGTGAAATCAGATTACATCATGCAGTTCTCAAGACACTGAAAGCCAAGTATGAAAAATACAGAAACCAATTTAAAACTTTCATTCTTTAAAACATTTCTTATTTCGCTTCTTGTATGAACAAAAACATACAATAGTCTACCAATAGCTGCAGCCAGAATTTTTTGCTTCTAGATAAACTGAACAGGGTTGATTTCAGAATCGAACGTTGATCTTTGAACCCTTTCATCTGATGGTGGCTGTGCAAGAAAAATCAGAGTGAATAAATAGTCCAGACAGAGATGTTGGTATCTTCCAGCTGTCTTTGGAAGCACTGGTCAAAAATGTACACAGGAAAAGTTCAGAAAAGCGACAAGGATGTAATTTCAATGCTTACAGGTTTTCCATACATTTGTTAATTTCGATAATGGTCTCTGTCCCATGAGTCGACCTCTTGGTTGGTTTGAAAGTCATAAGGTCCAAATAAAGATCCATTTTGAACTTTGATCATTTTTGAACTGCTTCAAAGACTCAAATCAGTTTTGTAAATACATCAAATCCTGAAAGATTTTTTTCTTTGCAGCTCACTTTATAACTGTAGGGTCATCAAAGAGAAGCTCTTTTGCATCATAAAACACCCCAGGCGTAACATGACGGCATCACATCATATTGTGCAAAACACAAGCCATGTTGTCAACTGCGCATCAGTATGTGGGTGGCATGTGTTCACTGAAGCGCTCATATGTTTACAGTGAAACTCTTGGATGAAAGTCAAGTTTGCAGCTGCAGCCTTGGAATAATTCATTGCTCGCCTTTTTACCCAGGAGGAGCCACAGGTAGTTGATGAAGTGGCAGTGCCAAGACGCCCAACTGGCGAAGACGAAGCGCAGCTGCCAGGAGTCAGCGTGGCCAGATGCCGCTGCTGATGTACCATGTGTTCCAAGCAGGGCAACAGTGTGTTTGTGTGTGAGCCGAGGTGGGAGGGGAGAGAGCCGAGAGCTTGCCAAGACATTCTCACACTGATGCCAACCTGACACATGCTTGGGTACTCCCTACGGTTTGTGTTACCCTCTCATCCTCTCTCGAAGATCTGTGGGGGGTCTACGTTTTGTTTTGTTTTTTCTTTGGTTCTCAGATGCAATCCTATTCCAAGATGAGAGTTGGCGCCAGCTTGCGGTCGTTCTGCCCATCAGCGGCGGGACTGTTTAAGGTATTATTTTCTGAAAAATACGCTGGCACCGGGTCGCTGCGGCAGCAGTGTCGGCCCCTGATTATCTCCTCTAGTTCTTATGCAACCCATACCTTTCCTTTCCATCACAGACGTATATCTGGCGCTCGGTTTTCACCCTCTACTCTTGTTCCCTCTTTGCATATTTCCAATAATTGTAAATAAATCTCTGTTTGGCTCAGATTCCAGTCCCCTCGAAGTATACGACGAAGCTATGGCCAACATCCAAGAAACAAATCCAAAACCTCGAGTCGCCTTTGCTTTTGTCTTTCCTCGGAGATTTGGTTACTTTTATGCAGAATCCTGACAAAACGTGCCATTTGCATCGAAAAAAGAGGCAAAGGACTGTGAAAATTTCCCACTAATAAAATATTTCCTGAAGCAACAGTGGTGCAGGCAAGGATAGAAATTGCAGCTTTTCCCTAAAAATGGGAGTGGAGTGGTCTTTGACGATACTATTCCTGTGAGTGGAGGGGGGTTCTCTCAAACAAAGCCTCCAATTTCGTTAGGAACATGCCATCCTCTTCTGCAGAGTAGGGGGTTTGGGGAGGGAAGAGAAAACTTTTTGAACGCGTGCCATGCCTGTACCATTCTCTTACTGAAGGTCCACGACTGCCAGCTGGCGGCTGAATGTGCCCACTTGCACTGCGATGACGGAGCCAGCCAAGCTAGTTGGCACACTAAGTGAAAGAACTGGCATGTGATCTGAGGCCAAAGGCAGCACCATGTGTGTGGTGGCTGCATAGACGCTGCTCTGCCTCCCTTCACTCGCATCCTTGGTTCTGTGGTGCACCAGTGAAGCTGCAGGGTGTGGGGTTTTGCCAGCATCCACAAAATGACAGAAAGCTCCAGTGATTTCAACAAATCTGTAATTATTAAGGATATAAAGTGTGTGGGTCTGCAAGAAGCCCTAAAGAGGATTGCACCAAGTACAATGGAATAATTAGAAGACAAAACTTATAATCTAAATCTGCTTTAACAGAGGCAAAACTCCAAAATTCACAAACTGATGGTTCTTTTGTAGCTATGAAAAAGCAGCATTAAACGGGGGCGGCACATATCATTAGAATCAAAGTTACATTGATATTACTCTCTCATTCTTTGTATAGCTTATTCTATTACTGTGGTAGACTGTTTAAGGAGATTTATTTTCCTTGTATGTTTCTTGATTCAAACCAAGATTGCAGGTTTTGGTCTCATTTGCATTGTTAGTGATTGAATGTGGGTGGATTTACAAGTTTTATTCAATTGCATAAGCATGCAGTAAATGTAGAAGCAGTAGTATGGAGTCAGTGTGTTTTTCCAAAGACATAAGTGTGAGTTAGAATGATGGGGAACTGGAATCAAACTCACAACCTCTCAGTTGCTGATGTCTGCTCAGACAAAATGTCTGTGTTTTCTTGAATAATCTTTATGCTTGTAAAACAGATTTCAAAGTGCAAACATACAATCGAACAGAGGTTTTCTGTATGATGATAGAACATATGAGCACAAGAATGCAGTATACCATGCTTTGAAAAAGCACTCATATCGCCATAACTTTTTCACATTTTGACACAAGAGATCCAGAAACGTCTTTATGTTTCATTTCAGTTTCATGTGCAAGAGCAACACAAAGTAGTTTTAAAGTAGAAAGGAAAATGATGAAGATGATTTTTTTTTTCTACAAACAAATATCTGAAAAGTGTGGAGTACATTTGCATTACTCCTTAAAACATTAAATGGCAATGTTATTGAAGTGTGGCAAATATTGCAAGTGTGCTCCTCAGCCATTTTCTTAACCATTTAGTTGATATGTTCAGGGAGAAGACAGTTTAGTTTTTTGCCACACACAGAAAACTAAACTTTTTGGCAGTTTGGAGGCCAAAAAGTTTTGTTTTTTAAGGCTTCCTGCATTTCTAAATTTGGTTTTAGTTTCATTGAAATAAAAATTTGGATAATTTTGGACATTGTTTTATTTCTTAGCCAATTTTAAACAACTTTTTCCTAGACACTGAGATGTATTTGTTGATCTGCATAATCATGTTTGTTTACTTATGTTCTCCAGCAAACCCTTCATAGACCATATGTATTCACTTCTGAAGGCAGTTGGTAGCATTGTATCTGATTTGGGGGCATCAAAGAAAAGGGTTTGGTGCACAAACACATCTAAACAAATAGCTTTCTGATTTTTATTGGTAAAACATTTTGAAAACCATGTAGCCTTTTTCTTCCACTTTCCATTATGTCTTGTTTTATCACCTAACATACCAAAAAACACATTGAAGTCAGTTGTAACATGACAAAATATGAAAATGATTAAAGGAATGTGATACTTGGAAATTAGGCACTGCTATGGAAAGGAACAGGAACTAGTAAAGAAAATACAGCATCAAGTTGCAAGGCATGACACATGTGACATGTTATCTAACCCCCTATGACTTGAGCTTTTAGGCTGATATCAATCTTTCATTTTTGAGGATGTCAGGCCAAACATGGGTGACTGCAGGTCATATATTGAAACAGTGGTTCAGAGTTTATTACTCTGCTGAAAAAAACACAGTGCAAGAATGAACTTCAAATTACATTTTTTAAAATAAAATATTTAAGTTCTTATTTTCAAGGTAAATTTCTTGATTAATTTGATGAGTATTCTGTGTATGTCCTTTTCTAAAGTTTTCTATAGTCTCTCTATATCCATCCATCCACCTATCTATCTATCTATCTATCTATCTATCTATCTATCTATCTATCTATCTATCTATCTATCTATCTATCTATCTATCTATCTATCTATCTATCTATCTATCTATCTATCTATCTATCTATCTATCTATCTATCTATCTATCTATCTATCTATCTATCTATCTATACCTATTTTTCACAAAATACTTGAATAATATGTGCAAATTTCCTTTCACTACAAATGAATGGTTCCGTGTTTGCTTGTTTCCTACCGACAACCTATTGGCGTTGCACCGCCCTTCACTTCGCTGTGGGGTAAGTTGAGGGTGAAACATTGAACAATAAACGTTTTGTCTCCGGAGATGTGATCATGGGTGGGTTCCCGAAGTCCTTACGCAATATTCAAATGTAGTTTTCTGTGGGAATGACGTCTTCCTGCCGTCCATAATTGTTTAGGTTCAGATAAAACTTGCTAGTGTCACCTCCACTGGGCACAGCTCTGGTACTGACAGGTTAAAAGCGCAGCTGCTCCTCTGTTGTTTTCTCACTGTCACGTTTAATAGCGACCGCATAATAATAACACCGACCGAGAAAATTCTGATACATTATGTTGTTGCTTCCACGGCTGTAAGACTGATGATCTTCAACATTTTATTCACATCCCAAGGGGAAATTGGTTTGCAGCAAACAAAAAAATGTATAAATACATTTTTAAAAACTGAAAAAAGGCTTCCACAAAATAAATCGCCTTCATTCTATTAGCATCACACAACACTCTAGGAGAAATAACTCATGTCCTTGTGCGTTGAAATTGCTTTATTTGGTTCATTTGCTCCTCACAGCAGCTGCAGTCACACAGAATTCATGTGTAAAAAGAGCAGAAGCATGGTTATAAATTCATTGTGATCTTCTGTTCATGTTTATTAAGCTTTTATTTTATACCTCTTTTGTCTTTACAATAAAATACTCCTAAGAAATCAAAGTGGTAAAAGCTCAGAATAAATAGTCATATTTTGATTCTGCTAAATTTAAACAAATGTTGATTTTTTTCTTCTCATCTTCCAGGTTGATGTTTGAGATTAGATGGTCAATGCTGTGGATGGAGCTGTCTTGACATGCAAACTCCAGTGGGTTTTGAGAGGATATATTTTAAACATGCTGTCAGAGCTGCTTACCTTCACCAAACACCCTCTACGGTGGACCATTCTTCACTGGAAAGCAAGTTACTCCAAAAGGATTCACCCTTTACATCCAGGATTGTGGGCACTGGGATTTCCAGTTCAAAAAAGCACTTACAGATGGACTACTGCACCGTCCTCAAGGACAAATACGAGGCCTGTCTTTTCTAGAGCTCCTGGGTTTGGGGAAGCGCTTGCAATCGTAGACAGCAATGGGAGTCACAGCTACAAGCAGCTGTACTGCAGGAGCTTAAGTCTTGCCAGTAAAATCAGTGCAGCATTAAATTCTGGCTTTGGATGTCTTGACGGAAGACGAATATCCTTCCTGTGTCCAAATGATGCTTCCTACGTGGTGGCACAGTGGGCAGCCTGGATGAGTGGTGGCACGGCGGTACCACTTTACCGAAAACACCCTCTTTCAGAACTGGAGTACGTGATCACTGATTCCCAGAGTTCACTGCTGGTGGCGGCACATCCTTATGCAGAGACCCTTGAACCGCTGGCACAGAAGCTGGGGCTTCCATGTCTAACCCTCCCTCCTACATCGGACCTGGACACTTTAGATGACATTGGTATACCTTCAAGAGAAGAGGAGAACGCCAAAACGGACTGGGCTGATCGACCGGCTATGATCATCTACACCAGTGGTACCACGGGCCGCCCCAAAGGGGTTCTGCATACACACAGCAGCATCCAAGCAATGGTAGTTAGTCACCTATGAATCTTTTATTCATTTGCATTCATCACAAATCTGCTTTTGAGTTTAAAGTTGACTTTATTGAACGTAGTATCATAAAAGAATTAACAAATTTGTATGAAAAAGAAAATAAAATGTTTGTTTTGTTACAACAATAATCAGCAACTCTAGTGTCTAAATGCCACTGTCGTGTAACTTTTGGATCCATCTCAGCTCCCACACCTGAATCCAAATCCTGAGTTACCTCCTTGGCATGTCAGCAGATCTTGCAAAGGCCTGGCCATGAATCATTCATTTGACTTAGGAATATTAGAGCTGGAATGCATCCTATAGTTGCAGAACAGTTGAACTGAAGGACTGAAATTGCAGATCACTGTCTTGAGTCCCAGATGGTAAGATCTTGATCAGTGCGGTCAAAATAAGTTGTTTTTTTTTCTTTTTCTCTACCATTTTTAAATGTTTCAGATCATCAACAAAACATATCAGTAAAAAGAATGATGGTGTTAAAGACTAACAATAGAAACACATTCAACTTTGAAAACTGTGATTAGAAATAGATTTTACTGATTTGTCTGCTGTGGTTTATCACAGGATTCTCATGATACATCCACTGTAATTACAGTATGGATTATGTAATAGGTTTTATTGTGCAAATTTATCTTTTTCATAATTGACAGATTTCTCTATAAACATTGTTATCTAAACAGCAAAGTCAGAGGTGGGGACACCCATGTCTCTTCAGATCTTAGTTTATAAGTTGCAGAAGTTGCTCAATTCAGAGTAAAACTAGGAATATCTCCCATCTTTTTTTAATGAAACAAACATTCAGAAACTCTCATTAGAATTATGTGTTTATGCCATTGAGGGTCCACAGAGAAATGGTCTGAATAGTTCTGTCCAATCAGACCTATTTGTCCAGGGGCCTGCTTAATGAAATCATCATGAATAGAAGCAGAGCAACGGTTGTCTCTGACTGTCCCAGAAAAATTAGTGAGTGATTGATTTCCTGGAAGTGAAGACCATCAGGTTGTCAGGATTCTTGGAAGGTGCTGCTGGTAAATTAATTTGAATTAAGACATATTGAGTTTAGTGTTCCTGGCTTTTGCATTTACAGTCTTGACGGCAATGAAAAGTAGACGGCTGAAAAGCCTGCAATTACGTTACTTGAATCACAAAGAGGCACTGAGACAATGTCCTGGTGCAAGATGTTACTTCATCATGAGGCGCTGCACAAAATGTCATCAGTGTTACCAGGAACTGCTGAAAATTAATCCTTTTAGTGTGTGTAATACTTCACTTTGATGTAGATGGTTTGTGTTGTTGCCCAAAATCCAGAAATATAACAAGTGTTTCTTTAAATATCAAATATTTTTTATTCGGCTCTTGTAGAAAACAAGCAATGTTATGCTTGCAACAAGGAGATGAAGATATTTTACCAGCTCAGTTTTCCAGTTCGAATGCACCGTTTATGCTGCCAGTATCAGAGGTGGACAGCGACTGATCATGAGATCTGTTGCTGTCTCTCTCCTTCACCAAACAATACTTTTTCATTTTCCAAAGCTTGTGGTACTGAAGGAACAAATTAAATTAAGTTGTTAAATATTAAATATTACTAGCTTTTATATTCTGCAGTTGTAATCTGCCGGTTTGCATTTGAAGTGGTATTGTGATCGATCATGTACAGTTCAAGACAAATAAATAACCTTTGTTCTCATTAGTCTGGAAAGACGAGTTAAAGACAGATTAAATTACGACTACTGCTTTGAAAATGCTTGGTTATAATTTTGTTCTTATTGCTGTTACAGTGTTGTGGCTTCGTGCTGAGATGAAGTGGTATAGTCATTTCCTTTCCATGACATAAAAGATGACTATTACATTTTGCACATAACGTTGTGATAAATATCTGCTTCAAAGATTGAGTAATAATTTAATCTCCAAAACAGCCTTCCTGGACTTTGTGGCTTTGACTTGGCGTTTCTCCACACAACGGATGAAATTTGGGTACATTTACAGAAGAAGTTTAGAAAGATTAGAGATCAAAACCACCAGATAGATTTACAAGACACTCAAGTAAGATGTTGACTAAAGAAATCTACTGTATCTTGAAAGAACTTTCAAGATACAGCCATAGAGATTGTTCACTCTCTATTGTAAATTAAATTTATTCTGTTCATCCACTTGAATGCTCAACACACACTTTGTCTCTTAGATAGATGTAGGATTTTTTTAAAAGACTAATGAGAGTAAGGCATGAAAGCTGTTAATCTCTTCTAGTTTATATTAAAGCATTTGTGCACTATTTTGTTTTATATATATATATCACCTTACATGGGGTTAGTGTTGTAAATGTCTGTGGCTTTGGTATAAATCTTGACATGCTGATTTTCTCTCTGTCCCTTCCTCTTAGGTCCAGTGTTTGGTTTCTGAGTGGGCGTGGTCTAAAGATGACATCATCCTCCATACCTTGCCACTCCACCACGTTCACGGCATCGTTAACAAGCTGCTGTGCCCCCTGTGGGTGGGAGCCACCTGCGTCATGCTTTCTGAATTCCAGCCACAGAAGGTCTGAACCTCTTTAAGTTACACTTTAACTCTGTGCGCTGTTATATAATTCTGCATTTAAGCATTCTCAAAGGTTTTCATATCGGGTCTTTTTCTGTCACTCTTTGTTTTTCACTCTTCATTTTTATTTTTTCCCCCACTTGTCCTCGTTTCATCTCTTCTCCCTCTTCTCCTTTATAAGCATCTCCTCCTTTTCCCTCTCCTCCTGCTCTCCTCCTGGCTGTCAGACTAAGCGGTCGGTGCTCAGTGATGAATTGCCCTGTGTGGTTTTGTATGTGACCAATGCCGACTCACGGCAGGGGCTTAAGCAGCAGATCAATCGATGAGATGACATTGAAGGATGATAGTGCTTATTTGGCCCTGAAAGAGGGGTGAGGTATGTGTGTGTAGGTAGGAGTCGGTTTAAAATAGGTTACTTGCATCTTTTCTGATAAAAACAAGCGTAATTCTTTTTTGAAATAGCCAAAGAAGGGTTTGACTCAAAGAAACACGGTTGCAGATATCAGTTATTTCTCCCAACCAAAACTAGATCTGCACGTCTAGTTTTGTTTTTCTTATTAGAAAAATACTTTTATTCGCACCTGAAGTTCCAGTACTTTGATAATGAGAATAATAGTTTTCTGTATGCCGTGAGCTCTTTGAAGGCTAACCTGAGCAGCAGAGTGATCTATTAAATTTAGTCAATTTTAACTTAGAAATAATAATTATATTTGAAAAAAATCCCACTGTGTGTTATTTTGTAATTAAATAAAACAAATGTACTGTCACAGAACAGAATGAGGAGAACAGCACCTTTTATAATAATCCCAGCAGGTGCTGAGATATAAGACATTCCAGAAGACGCAGCGATAAGGAGTCGGTGCAATGCATTCCTAAAAGCAAAGAGTTTTTACAAAGTAGCCTTGATGAATGATTTATGAGCACTCAGCCTGGAAACCCTGAGCTACTCTGTCTGTAGTCCAACTCAAGTTTGTATGTCTGAATCTATATTCTGTATACCATCCCTCAGAGCTGGACTGGAGGTCTGATCACAGTGCCCAGTGCAGTTCATTCTGTGCAAGGCAGCAAAATATTCAAACAGTTCACCATAAAACACGGAATATCAATAAAAGATGAAAGCAATAAATTATAATGACAGTTATAACAATAATAATAAAGAAGAAAAAAACCTGAGAAATTAAATAAGTATTTGTTCTGTCAGTCTCAGGTAATCAATAATAATGTAAAAAAGCTTTTATTTCAGAAAAAAAGCTAAACTTACATTTCAAATGTGACAAATGTAGAAAAATGTTTTTGCTTCTTTAATCCTTCACTTGGTGGTGATGGGAGGCTTTTGCTCTTGTCAACATTGTTGCTGATGTGGGGTGGGTCTCTGGGCTCGGAGCCTTTGGGATGTCCTACGCCCGGCGGGGCCACGGCCCCCACCTGTGAGGCGAATTTTGGCGGCTGCATGAGAGGCTTTTATGGTTTCACTTTACAGCAAAAGCCATAATGCTCCACTTCTGAAGGTGAATCCGCTGCTGCTCTCCTGGATACTCAGACAACAATCCTGATTGCTGCACTGCCAGACAGTGACAGTATTTATTAAAAGGAAGCCGATCTTGAAAGTTCCAGAAATACTTCTTGCAACTTTGCATCTTCAAAGCAGTGGAGAAAATTAGAAAGACTAATCATTTCTAAAGCGCTTAACTGGTTGTACATTTTTGGTTAAATCTAAAGTAGCAAGTATAAAACATTATTCCAAACTGTAGCAGCTTGTCCTAGAACGGGTCCATTTTTGGTGAACTGACATTGAGTTGAATTGGGCTCCCACGTTCAAAGCTGAGCTTTCAACAAGGCAATGTTGTTTAGGATGCAGGCTGCAGCTTTGGGTTTTCAGTAGATGTCGTTCCCGAGGTGGAGACCAGCTCCTTGATAGACATAAATTACTTTCCCCTCCCCTCTGGTGTGAACTTGGTGGAAGCGCTCCAATGCACTTGACAGACACCACCCAGAGTGGTCAGAGCACGCTCAGTTGATAATTCTCCCCTCTGTATGGGAACAGTTTCAGTCTTAATGCTCTTCAGCTTTTAGATCAGCTTCTGATGATGATATCAACATATCTTATTCTTCATGTTTTTGTTATAGTTGTTTATTAGAGGTAAAAAAAAAAAAAACTCAGGTGAGGTTTTATGGATAATAGACTAGGTGAGTCAATGATGCGGTTATTTGAAGAAAAAAGTGGAAGCACATTACAGAGTGTCTGGTGTCACTGAAAGTGGAAGTGATGATAGGAGAGTCTGCGTTTTCCGTGTGTGAGTACATATCCAGGTATGTATATGGGAGAGACTGCAGGGGCAGCGGAGCAAGAAATTACAAAATGTAGAGAGAAGGTAACTGAATGTTAGATAGCGAGAGAAAAAAAAATATGAGGGAAGGATGTGGGGTCAGGGAAGGGAGAGGGGAATGAAGATGAAGCACTTGGGAAATTAAAGGAGAATGAACACAGAAGAAGCGAAGATAAGTAAAGTGAAATGAGAGGGGAGTGAAGGAGGAGCATTCTTCTCCTACAGAAGGAGAGAAACTTCAGAGAAGCTGTTCTTCATCTTGACCTTCCATCTCCTGCGCTGCTGGATCCTCACAGATGTTCAGGGTATACTTGGAGAAAGCGATCTTTTGTCATATTCAAAAGGCATTTCAAAATGTGTATGTCTTCCATTAAAGTTAGAGAGGGATTTTTGTGGGCAGCTATAAAATGACTGCCACGAGTGATGAAGATGAATTGATAGCCAAACCTTTCGTGGGTGTATTTTAAATGTTAAAGTGTTGCTTCGCAGTCAGTTATGTGGTTCAGCATTTTTTCACCCAAGTTTAAATCATGTTGCCGTTCAGCCATCAAGGCTCACATGAAAAAGAAATCTTAATATTTGTGAGTGTAAAAATAAATCAATACTTTTGTTCTCTGACACTTAAATATCAAAATTAAACTTTCCTGATGAAATAATATTGGGATTGGAGTAATTAAACTCTGTTGATTATTGGTAAATCATTCTAACATCATTATGAATTCAATAAGTGGTCTGACAAAATTCACAAAGTATATAAACTGCTTTTCAGCCAACAAATACCTGATATAAAGCCTCTATTAAGTGTTTTTTTTTAGGCGTCTATTCTTTAACATCTACATTATTGGTTTTTAGTGTGCATTATGGCAGATTTTCCTTTTATATTAAAATGCAGACATTCTTAACGTCACCCATTTGTTGAAAGTGGCGGTACAGCAGGTCTTTGTTTTGGTCGTTGTTGCTGCTCTGCCCTTCAGCAGTTGCCGTTTTCCCTCCTCCTGACCTTTACAAAGCTTGACTTTTTTTGTCTTTTTCTGACATTGTGTTGACAGGTTTAATATGTGGCTGCCGTGGACTTTACTCTGCCATTTACATCAAATGAAAGGGAAAAAAATGTATTTTTTTTTTCTGCAGCACTAATGGAATAAATCTGGATGTTATAATTTAGTTTTCATTGCCCCTTTGTTGCAGTCGCTGCTTCTCTCTTAACCTTTTCTTATCATTTTCCTTTTCTCCCTTTTCAGCAATGCATTCTCCTTATCTCGGCCTGACTCGTTCTCTCCCTGTGTCCCCAGGTGTGGGAGATGCTCCTGAGCCTCAAGGCTCCAGTGGTTAATGTGTTCATGGCCGTGCCAACTATTTACTCAAAGCTCATCCAGTACTATGATCAGCACTTCACACAGCCTCGTGTCAAGGATTTTGTCAAAGCAGTTTGCAAGGAGAGAATCAGGTACTTTATCTTGGGATCGTCTAAAACTGATTATTATCCAAAAAGGTTGGAAGGTTGTAGAAAATATAAACCTGCTTTCTTATCTTTTTACGTTAGTTAATGTGAAATTATTGTTACCTTCGTCCAAATTGGAAGGAATTGAAAACAATTAATAAAAGATCCAGTCCTGCCATGTGTAATGACGCCTCCTCTTTATATGAACAATTCATCTGGGTCAGAATTAGCTACAAACTAAATACTGTGCTTCTCCATGAAGACAAAATCGTTTATGCTTTTCTGTGGTCTCTTTGTGTTTTTTTTTTTTTTTTTTTTTTTCTGGCTAATTGATCATAAGCCTATCAGTGACTGAAAGGTCAATGTCCCATCCACAGTGTCTGAGTGCCCTCAAGTGGTCAATTAGTTATTTTGTGGTTAATCAGAAAAAGGTTGGACTGCCGCTGGCATGTCAGCCTCTCCAAGCATTCAGCAAGCTGAGATGACTGAATCTTCACTGGTGCAGACTGGGTGTCTGCATAGCATAGCATAGGAATAAATAAATTACTGGTTTGTTGTTGACATATTTCTTTCCCCCATTTTATATCCAGTTAACTTACAAAAGTGTAATTAAAGTTTTTGTGAGCTGTTTTTCTCTGTATTATATTCCATTTGCAGCCTGTTTTTTCACATTTGTAAAAATTTATTTTAGAGAAACACCAAAAACAAGTCCATCCTATTTTTACTTGAATTTTAAGATTCAAGATATTTTCAAATCATTGCTGTTTAATTCACCTTATTACACTCTTCCACTGTTTTCTGGAAGACTCAAACCCAGTCGGTTGTGACTAACCCAGTCAGTCGAGTCAGTTGTGTTTTTTCTTTCTTTTATCTATTATAAATTAACATGGTTCAACATACATCATAGAAAAAAATTTCTTAGTGTACTTCGTAAATCTTTTTTGGGAGACAATAATTTCTCTTTAACTCTGCGATATAAACAGAAATATGCATTATTGTGAAGTCTTCTTCAGTGTGAGCATTCAACAGACTCACATTTCTTTGGACTCTCTTTTGTTGTCGCTCTCAGGGTCACTTTCTTCTGGGGGCAACTTCTCCCATTAGCTTGTCCTCTTCATCATGCAGCAGTCCAGCCTTTCCAAACCTGTTGGTAAAGGGCTGTATATTAGCCGTATCACAGTATTCAAAGCATGTGAAAAAAGCAGCGGCTTATTGATATTACAGTAGTATGCCCAATATTGACTCAAAGTTTGTCATCTTTTTTAACTTCTTAGATACTTGAGCTGATTTAGTTTTGGTTGATTTACTGCACAGTAAGGGTGACATTTTGTCATTAATTGGTGCTTCCAATTAATTTAAGGGTTGTGGAGTTCCTTAAACTGTTTCAATGAGCCTTCATCAAAACAGCTGCTGCAGGCACATTGACAGAAACTAGGATTAAAGGGGAAACAATTACCAGTACACTGTTAGTCTTAATGCTGCATGTAGAGTATACGCTATTAGCTTCTGTACTAAGACTTAGGCTCTTTTTATTAAATCCATAGTGCAGCCATACCGTTTGGTTATTTATTTGTTTAGTTGTTTCTACTGATTTCATTTTATTTTATTGCCTTTTCTGCTGACAATATTTTATTCCTTGTCCTGCTGTAATTTATATGTCATTTCCCCCTGAGAAATTGATACCTTTATTTGGAGGTTTCTGTTTTTTCCCTTTCTATCAGATTGATGGTTTCAGGCTCAGCTGCTCTGCCTCTGCCCACCCTGCAGCGCTGGGAGGAGATCACAGGACACGTGCTGCTGGAACGCTACGGCATGACCGAGATCGGCATGGCACTGTCCAACCCTCTGAAGGGTCCGCGGATCGCAGGTACGGAGGCTTGGTTGCGTCCACTTGCTCTTTTAATTAAATTGTCTTAGACATGCAAAGTTCCTCGAATACTTGCATTTGTAGTTTTGTAAATTCATTCATAAAAAAATTTAAGTATAGGGGATTGTTTTGTCTTTTTTTACTGTTGAACAAATTGTCTTCAGAACATTTAAAAGGTTCTAGAAGTAAAAGTGAGGAATTGCTAAAAAAAAAAAAGTCAGATTTACCATATTATGAGATATGAGATACATAGTTTAATCTTTGAATGGGTGAGAAATCTTTAACTCAACATTCATGTTCATGGAAAATAATTGATCATTAAATTTAATTATTTAACACCTGATGAAGTTTTACTTCCAAATAAGTAGGATTTTTTTCATTCATGTCTGCCTGTGACAAAAAATGTATACATCTATCCTACTTAAATCCCATATGTTCACATAATGTCTAAGAAAAGTTTTCAATATGGAATATTTCCACAATTTCAGCAAATGTTCAGCCTCTTTTCAACCTCTGAGGAAAGTGTGATCACAATAGCAGTGCTACATAAATGTAGAACTTCATTTGTTTTTGTAGAGGTAAAAGTGATGAATGAGTGATGATTTGCTATAAAACCACTACTGTTGTCATTCAGCTGCTGCACTCTCTGAAACCATCTGTATTTCAGCTATTCAGGAATCAATTCTTTAGCTGTAACATTAATCCTAAGGAGAAAATGCGATCGGTGCTTCCTAATAAAACATCACCTCACAGACTATCAGTTGTACGTTGTGTTTGCATACAGAAGTGGGTTTGTCTCATGCCTCTCCTCTGTTTTATGTCATGAAATTTTGAATAATCCTTCCTCGAGCATTTCTACTTTGTGTGTTTTGTTTATCACAAGTTTTCTCTGTTGTCATGTCAGGTAAAACCCCTCAATCCCAACTTCACCTCCCTCACTCTCACAAACAAAAGCTAGGTCTAAAAATGAGGTCAGGCTCATGTTGTTTGCTCTCTTCCCCTGCCTTCACCTGTCATCTTCTCTTCTTCTCCTTCCTCACTATTTCCATCCCTAGTCAACAACTATTATACAGGTAAAGCTAATTAGCTTGCAAGTGGATTGGGTAATCCTCTGCCTGCTCTCTTGTTGTGGTTTTGTTTTGTTTATTTGTTGTTTGGCAAAAATTGAGTAGGCTGTTTGATTCCTCTCAGGTGATTATTAGGGATGTCTTTAAGAAGTCTGTGGTTGTATTGATGTTTCCGCGGCCTCGGTTGTGTGTGTGGGTGTGTGTGAGTGTGTGTGTGGGTCCGTGTGTGTGTGTGTGTGCAGGAATGAGCTTGTGCCTGTTTCAGTCGGTGTGTTCCTGTCTCATCTTTAAGTAGGTTAAAACAGATCAATAGCAACCACAGGAACCACTCTTCCAAGAGGAGTGAGCCGAAGCCGTCCTCTCCCTCATCCTAACACCTGCTTTATTTTCTTTTTTATGCACACAACCAACCATGTGAAACATAACAAAAAAAAAACACTTTATTCACAGAAATTTCTAAATTAATTTCCACATATTTAAATCACGAGACTGGCCTAAATTTGCTGCATATTTGTGCCGTTTTAAAGCCTGATAGCAATAGCATTGCTTTCTAGGTCATGTTTCCCTTGTCGAGATGTAAGCATGCAGGATTATTTCATACTCGTTCGATCCATCTTCTGTATTATCTAACTCTGCTGCCCATTTCTTATTTTTTATTTTTTTTACATGTTTTGCCCTAATTTTTGTTTTCTAGGCTCTAGCCTCTAGGCTCCACAACACATTTTCACAAGAAGTTGGAACAAATATTTCCCATTAGCCTTTGCTTTAATACAACTAGATTGTAGGTCAATCTAGTTATTTTTTATGGTTATGTTGTAACCATTTATGTAGTGAGTGTGTCCATTGGCTTTCGATATTGGTTTTGCTTTAATATTGTCAGTGAGTCATTGCACTTCAATGACTCATTCTGCTAGTGTTTGTAGAATAGCAGTGTAGTAAAAAGATCAGGCAAAACTCTCTGCCAGTCATAAATCAATGGCAAGATTTTGTTTTACGAACAGTTTATTTTTTTTCTGTGGTTTTATTTATATTTTGCATGATATCTAAAAGAAATGTAATCTCATTACTGTACAAAAAAGGGGGCAAAACAGAACTAAAAAAGACATTCAAGTAAAAAGTAAAGCTGTTCAGATGACAAATCCAGTTGTTGAGAGTGAAGAGGTTATACATTTATTTTTCTTTTTTTTATTTTTGCAGTGAAAGGGTACTTGGGTCCCTTTAATTGCAAGATACACTTGCAGTTTGATCTTTTTAATTTTAATGCCTTACTTAGGATTCTCTAAAACTATAATTTGACTGCATTTGCCACCAATGAACAACTTGAGCTGTAAAAGTGCAGAAACATTTGGTAGGAGATAGTGAAACTATTGCACAAACAGCTTGTTTTGTTACACATCTTTCCAGTTGCTGAAATGGTGATGCAACTGTGTCGATCCCTACTTTATTCTGTCAGACCATCTGACCTTCTATTTTCTTATTTTAGATATTGCAGCACACCTACATGAAATACAGAGACTGCGGTTTGTGTTTATGTGTACTTCATACAGATCGATAAGCAAACATCCACATCTAACAATAGACTCAGCAAGAATAAAAAATAAGCACATCAATATGCTTGAATTTGTAAGTTCTGATATAAAGGATTAAGCACCATCCTGAAAAATTTGGGGTTTATGTCATTTGTTGACAGTCCGACGTCCATCATGTATAATAACTCTAAAACTAACTTACATTTTAGGACTTGATTAACTTCAGTTTTTCCGGAGCTTGTAGCGCCGTTTGGGCAAAGACTTTGTCAGATTCAGTTCACCTGACCTCATGACTCGGACTTGTTAATGACCCTAGTAATCCATTGGAAGTGGTCTGGTTACTTTTGTGCTCAGTTGGTTCTCATATTGATCCATTCAACGCCAGTCCCTCATTCAGGACCTGAATTGATTAGATCAATATGAAGTGAGAAACTCATTCTGTAATCAGGACCTGAGCTGCTCTTCATTTGGAGAGCCGTTGTCTCTGAAGTCGTGCCGCAGCCCAAGGCGAGCTCGAACACACTCATCTAAACAAATGGATGGAGAACAGCGCTGAGACCTTTCTGGTTCACTCGTCGTTATAATTACTTAACTTTGAAGGTCACATTTGCAAACACACAAGAATGGAAAATGCAGGTGATGTCAGTAAATCTCGGAACAGATATTTCATGTATTTATACGCAGTTTTTACAGCAGGTTATTGTGTTTGTTTACTTGTCAAATCGGAATCGTTTTTGCAGTTCTTCGGTGAAAAAGCCTGTCAGGCACTCAGCAGTAGTTAAGACTGAAGGAATAAATTGCACTGTGCAGTCAGATGCTTTTTCAGAAGAAAATAAGTGCAACCCAAGACAAATGTCTCAACTGTTCTATTATTTTAGCTTTTCTTGATGTTGTTAAAGAGGGAAAAAAGCTGCATCAGGCATGGCCCAGAAATTCCCATTACTGTCAATGTGAGCTGGCTTGTGTTGACTGAGATGAATTGCTTCCAGTTTTACAAGCTCAGCAAACCTTTTAGTGACCAGTTCTGCCCAGAGGATGGAGGTTAATGTCATCTTAGAGGAGCACACTGCCTGCTAATTGAGAAATGCTTAACTGAAGGTTGTCAGTGAACACTCTGTCATTTAATCTCTTTTTTTTGTGTTTTTAGAAGGGAAAAAAAATCATCTTCTTTTTTTTTTTTGCATTCTTTTTGTTTCAATGTTGACAGGAGCTGTTGGGCTGCCTCTTCCAGGTGTAGAAGTTCGAATTGTCATGAATAACACAACCAACACTATGATTGCTGAAGGAAATCACAAAGAGACTCAGGTAAATCTGTATGAGTCATTATAATGAAGCAATCCATCCACAGACAGGTTTTAAATTGAAAGTATTCAAGATGACATTAAAGGCTTTTCAGGAATCTGTAGATGTATAGATAATCTTTAGCACCTATACATATAATATAGGCAGGAGGAAATCGCAATAGCAAATCACTCTAAAATTAAAATATTTACAGCATATAAAAAATAAGGCATGGTTTACATGGAGGCAGGATTACTTTTAATGCTTTTCTTTATGTTAGAAAAAAAATCATTTAGTGATAATGCTTTTGTGTTGCACATGAAAAATCACTAAGCGAAGCACTGACAACCTTAAAACTAATTTATAAAGCAGTAATAAAACTAAAGAGTACATAAATGTGTTTTAGGGTTGTTTACCTAAAACTCAATCATTACACTGTAAAAATACATTTTTAATTGAAAGCTTATTAGAAGATCCTTCAACATTTCAAAGTAATAAAGGCAAGAAAACTTTTTTATTATTATTATTTTTCAGGTTGCATCGAACAATTAAATCATCTGACAGTTTTTTTTTCTTCTAAATAAATATTCTTTGGTAACACCCTTATTTCGACATGACCCTTCTGAGCTTAATGAGCTGTAAAAGTTTCCTCCCTGGGGTCTCTGCACATAAATATCCTTCTTGGCAGCCTGTTAAGGCCGGTGCATGAAAGAAGCACAGACACCTTCACTTTCTGTAAAACCAGAATGAAAGTTCACATACGGCTCATCTGTTACTCTTTCTCCTTTCTGTGCTGGAGTTATTTCAATCCAAGGTGATATCTGCTCATCTAATGTGCTCAGCTGCCACTGTTCAAAGCAACATCAGAAAGCTTGTTGGTAACTTTGGCTTTTTGAATGCAAGTTGTTATAAAAAAAATACTTGTACTGCTAAAAAGAAAAACTACTCTCTTGCTTGAAAAGAAGGTTAGTATCACCAGTGTCTGTCAGTTTCTTAACGTTGTGTTATATGACGGCCTCAGACAGATTTATAAACTTTTTTAAGACACTCTCTGGTCCATTAAAATTTGTTTTTTCTTCTCTGTTTTTCTGTTTTGAATATCTCACAGGTGCGTCCAGGACTTGAGTGTAAACAGGGCGAGCTGCTGGTGCGAGGTCCGTCTGTCTTCAAGGAGTACTGGAACCGACCTCAGGAGACCAGAGAGGCTTTTACAGATGACGGCTGGTTCAAAACGGGTACCAAGCCGTCTTCCCCTTCCTATGCCATACTTCCTTATCATTATGTCCACATGCTTATTCATACACACTCTGGAAAAAGGGGATTACATACTTCCAACAATTGCAGCTCCATGATCTGTGCAGTCAGAGCAATTCACTGCAGGAAGAGACATGGAGGAGCTTTTAACTCCTGTTGCAGGCTGAAATTTCATTTGAGACGAGTTAAAACCAGGAGAGCAGTTCAGGTGGTAAACACTCACACACCATTCACACGTTTGGGTGAATGGTGTGTGTGCTCACATTTTAGGGCACTATGAGGGAATGATAAATGGAGTATGTGTGTTTTTGGCGCTACAGGGCATTTTTCCTCCTAAGTGGCTGTGACTGCTCTGGGTCTTCAGGAACCAAGTAGAGCTCTCTGCCTTGACTTTTTCTTCCCTTCTCATATGTGTGTGGTAGCATAGAGAGAAGCTGTCATCTGAGGCTTTTCCTCCCTGCAGGCCACCACTTCTGTCTTTGGCCCCAAAAAGGAGCCGTGTTTCACTGTAAAGCCACTTAGAGACATGCTTTAACCTGGCACAGGAAGGATGTGGGGTGCAAAGGGTCGAGAAGGGCAGATGCAAGCGGAGTTCTTACAGACTGAGTAATTTTTGAGCTTGGAGATGTGGCTGCCGGGGATTTTAGAAAGAGCCTCGTACAAAGACGGAGGGGGAGGAGCCAGACGTGATGGGACTGGGGTGGCGGTGGGAAGGCAGTGCAAAAGGATGGAGTGATTGAGAGCAGAGCAGGGCCAGGCAGTCGGGAGAGAAGGGCAAAGTGTGTTTAATTGGCTTTGCAGGCTGGAAGGACAGAGATCCAGAGATCCCAGCACGTTGCTGTCACACTCCATTACAGCCAGCGGCCACATAATGAGAGCCACTGCAATCAGCTCCCCACAGACCGGTCCCTCAAGCCACACCGCCACAGACACTGTGTGGACCGCTCTGTAGGAAGCTATCTGACATCTTCCTTAGCCACCCAGCTCCTACAGCCTCATCCTGCACACACATACAGGGTTTTATGAAGTAGGAGGATTGCTTAAACATTCGAGGTTCAAGGAGAATGCTTTTTTTTGCCTTTTATGCTTTGATTTGTGAGTTAAAGCACTCACATTCTTTCACTTAATTTCAAAGTTTGAAAGCGAGTAACTGAGCTTGAGATCTGTTTTATGAATAGTATCCAAAGGTGCTGCAAGGATTCAGATGTGAAGATGCCACCGACATCAAAATAGTTTTTGGCTTCGTCGCTGTGTGAAGTAAAACAAAGATCACTTTATGAAGAGTCACATCGTCTGCAGTTTTGTCTTAATTTTAAATAATATAATAACAATAATATAGAGCTGTAGTGGCTGTTTTATTGAAGGGAACATAACATCTACTACACAGAAAAATGTTCAGTTAAAAAAAAAATATATATATATATATTTTTTTTAGCTTTGAATTCAGATTACTGTTAAAAGAAAATCAAATGTTTGGAAAGCAATAGTGCCTTGCAAAAGGATTCATATTCTTTTAACCTTTTTGGGATTTTTTCTGAGTCAGCAGTTTGTTAAATTATATTTTCCCACTTCCCAGTAAGTTTGTCGGGGTAACCTTCTTTGTGTTTATATATTGGCAGAGAGAAACAGTTCAGACAATCTGAACTGTCTTTCTTAGCTTCTTGTCACCCCTCACTACCTCATACTGTTCACCCTTACGCCTCTTTCTTGCACCTCCTTTCAAACTTGACACTTACAGACTGTAGCTTGAACTTGAGAATTTGCTTGATCTTTTATTACCCTCGTATTTGTAAAGTCAGAGAGGACGTCTCTAACTTTTTCAACCTGTTCCATGGTTTGTATGGTTTCAACTTAAAATTATGGTGGTAATGACTTAATATATTTTATTGTCTATTTTTGTGACATGATTTTGGTTACCAGATGGAACATAATTTATTATGTTGCAGGTTAGCCATAAAATTAGCATCTAATTTATTGGATCCAAATTGATTATGAACTAACGTTTATTCTGTCATTGAAGATAAAACAAACATTCTCTAATGTTTTCAAAATAAGAACCTTGTTAATAAATGGGCGCCTGCTTGGAAACTGTAGTGAATATATTTAGGTATCTTAATTTTTTTAAAACAATGTTTGAGGTTCATGAAAAATTTATTCTGTATGTGAAAAACACAAAAAAACAGAATTCAAACTACATACGTAAAAATGGATAAAAGTATCTCTTTTTTCAGGAGACCAGAAATTATATTGGTCTCATGAGAGTTGGATGTATTCCAAGTATCACTGTGAACACAAAACAATATAATTAACAAACTAATGGCCTTTAAAACAACAATTATAGTATAAAACACATATGCATGGGAAACATTAAACATTGTTATGATTTGAAATGTGATATCCGTATTGGGAAAGCTGGTTGGTTTCTTTAAAATGTGTTAAAATCAACCCTAGATGTCCATCTCTGTTATACTCACTAGGACTGGAACTTAAAACTGAGTTTCTCTGAGCTGGAAGAGCAAAAATGGCTTGAACTCTTTCATTGACGAGGATGTCGGCACTGTGTGGCTGGCACAAAGTAAAAGATAAAGTCTGACAAGAGCATACGGCTGACAAGGTGAATAAAAAGCCGGGGTAAACAAGACGGCAGAGGAACAGTGCGGTCGGAACGTGGGACTTCAGATCAATACGTTCTCAGCTGGTCAGATGTGTCTTCTTTAGAGTCAGCAGGTGCTGCGTGCCTGATTGGCAGCTCTATAGGGAAGCTGTCACCTGGCTGCGCTCCTTCCACTCATCTTCACAAACATCTTTGAGTCTATTGATCTCCTCCTCATTTTTTTTTTAACTCACCTTTTGTGCTCCTCTCTAGAGTCTGTCCACTGACCACAGCTTAAAATCAGTCAATTAGAAATGGGGAAAGCTTTTGTTATGTGGCTGGCAACAGCAGAAGTGACTGGAGAAACAAACTTCAAGAGATGCTTTAAGTTTGGCTTTAGCTGGAGCGAACTAATCAAGAGCAGCCGGTAGAAAGTTTTGTGTTTCAGTGATAAATTAAGATGACTGTTTGAGGAAGGGAGTGAGGAAGAAGTTGAGCTTTGGGGGCTGACTATTAGCCAGGCCTTATCTGAGGTCTCATTTAATTAACTAAGAGAGACTCAGGCTCAAGGGCAGAAATGTTAACAAGAGGGTTAATCTTCGTCACTTTACCTCAGTTTCACACTCCTAATTGCTTATTCCAACAGAACCTATTAATCTGAGCCATCTGGATCCTGTAAGAGCTAGAATTAGGATATATTTAGGTTTATCTCCTCAACTAATGTTATATGTATGCTGAATGTTGATGCAGAGGTTCATATTTTAGAGATGGTGTTTTAAAAAATGTAAAAGATCACTGATTTTCAAGGTTCACTCTTTGCAAAAAGACAGGTTTGTGCATAGTCTGGCAATATGTTTGAAAAATGCGAGTCTTTCATATCAGTCGATGACAGTAATTATTGATTTTTTTTGTTTGAAATATCTAAAATACTGGCAAACTAGTTACGTGAAAGAGGAAATTATGCACAATTTCCTCTTGAGCTCTCCTCATTTCACTCTCCCCTTTTTCTTGCCGTCATTCTTCCCAAAGATGTCATATTTCACCTTGAGTTGCACTGCGTCCTCTAATGTTTGAGCTCCCAGTGGGGATTTATTCGACATCCAGCACCCCCCACCACCATCACCGGTGGCATTGTTCAAACCAGCTCTCCCTATAATATTTACTGCAAAGATGTCAACACATCGTGATCCATGTTTCATTAAAACCACTTGCAAGTGAATCTAGTGAAACATCACCGCACATCAGCCTCTGAACTTCAGTGATTATTGTTGCGAACTGTCAAAGCGACTTTTACTGAACCTTCATTCTCTCCAGTTTTTAATCTCCTCTCACAGTTACGAAGCGAAGAGACTGAAAAGTGTCTTGATTAAAAAAGAAAGTTTACAGATTTGTCACCTCAGAGCTCTGGCATCATAACAGTCTCCTTTTTTGTCCATCTAGCGACTGAGATTAGGTTTGTGTGATTAAGTCCGGAGTAGCAGCATGCAAACCGCAGTTAAATAGTTTTCTTGAAGAACATGCAGATCTGAGACATGCATCAATCCTCAAGTTAAGTCTGTTATCTGCTGCTGGGAAGGCAACCCCAGCAATGGGTATAATCAGAAACATTAACATAAAGCAATTCTAGCTCCTTTAATTTCATTATATTAAACAAATTAGATCACTCATCCGAGTGCAAAGTGCCTTCTTGTATGATATTAATTACTAAAAAAGGAGCTGTGACAAAAGTTAAGGATGATGAATAATGTCAGTGCTGAGATTTCACTGCCTGGCTGTCTGTTATTTATCCTCATTAACTTCTCCATCTTGGCATCAGGCTTTAATGTGAAACATTAATATTCATATATGCAAAGTGTTTATGATCTGAGAAGAAGCACGGCTCACATTTAGACCTCTAACATCTTTGCTCAGATAAGTCCGCTGTTCCTGAAATGACAGAGAGGCCCCGGCTTTTGCTTGCTCACTTATATCTCTAGATGTTGCAGGACTAAGACTCAACATGTCTGTCCATACAAAGATGCCTTATTTTCTCTTGCAGGTCACAAGCTTGCAGCTAATACTGCTGTAATCTTGTGCTGATGGTTTAATGCCATGCATTCAGAGGTGACGCACAGTACATCAAATTAGCTACTGTGTACTATAACGCAGCTTTAGGAGAGGTTACAACCTGGATACTTAAGTAAATGTGATTTTTTTTTCGTTGTTTTTCTGTCTTTAATAACTTGCATTACTATCAAAAAAAGATGTTCCACATTGTCATGCGATTAGAATTTTAATACGTGTTGGACTGCAGGTCTAAGAAACTAAATCTAGAAAAAGTGAAACACTAACATAAAACACTGATTTATTTCTCTATTTTATCTATTTGGTCTTTTACATCTTTTTTTCAGTGAGAACTGAGATTCATTGAGACCATCGACATGTTTTAATCTCATCATGTACAGAAAGGGAACTGAGGTGTGCACACAAACAATGGACTAGATAAATAGAGTCTAACAAACACTTGTTTCTGTGTATTTATTTAAAAAAAAAAAAAAGAAAGTGTTTTGTGAATTTTAGTTGCGTCTCTCCTGTGTGGACACCTGTAGCAGAATAACGGCAGCAGGCTGAAATATTTTTGTTATGTTGGCCTTTGTCAGATGTCGCCCTCTGCCCTTTACTGCCAGACTCTTTTTGACAAAGAAACTCAAGTTGTGTTCGCAGTTTCTGTGTTTGTGTGTCATTTTAAATGAGTCGGGTGTAAACATCCGCAAAATGCCATTTCCCACTCCAGTTCAAATGGTTTAAAAAAAAAAAGTTGTTTGCAAAGGTTTGAAAGTATCACATTTTTTCATTTCAGTCTTTTAAATCTTTGTTTTCATTTTTAGAGGCAACAAAAACTGCGTGGAGCCCCATCTTTTCTTTCCTGCCAGCTACGACTGTTGTGATTAGCAGTGTAATTATCCGTTTACCTGAATTACTTACCTGAAACAACATCAAGCTGAATGTAAACTTCGCTGCTACTGCAGAAAAATCAGCTTGAGTCAAAATTCAGCTGACTGCAGCGTTCAACTCATCCTGAAGGCTCCACAGCACACGAGTTTAAAACAACATACTTTTAGAGACTAGTTCCTCTGAATGGTGGGAAATACCCAGTTGCATTTTCATGGTGCATTCAAGTACATCTTGTGCACTGGATTGTTTAATTACTAAAATAAAAAATACTCCCAAGCAATTTATTTTTTGTTCAGAGAATATTTTAAACTTCAACTCAGAGATAACTTATCCATAAGTTTATCCAAAAACAGCAAGAAAAGTGTTTAGACTTACAAATTCTGAAGACAGATTTAATTTACTATTAAAAGTTTATATGATGTTTTTAAATTTAAGGAATTGTCTCCGTACTCTTTCCTTGAAAAACCTAATCAGCTTTCTCCTTTTTTATATAAACTTTTATTCAGTCTTTTTGTTTGGATTATTTTTCAAGAATGTCAGGTACGCACTCAATTTAGATTTTTCGCAAAGTTCAACACTGTGAAGGTCATCTGTTTTTGTTAAAAATTCCCCAGCTGTTAATAAAGCATTTTTTTTTTCATTTAGAAATGTGTTACTCTTTTCTTGCAATAAACAAAAATCATGACTTGAAGTAATTCGGCAGTGATTTGTTGTCGTTTTGGTCAAACCCAAACTGAACACGTGTTTCACAGAGGCGGCTGAATGTCTCCGCTCTTTGAAAGACGTCACAAAGTTTTCCATGCCCTCCGTCCCCAGTTAAATTCTTGATCTGTTTTTATTTCTTTATTTTCTCCCCACTACGCGCCTTCGCTTTCGTTAATGCCTCAGAATGAGATGAAAGCCCAGTGCAATTAGGCTTCTTATCGTTTTAATTAAGAAAGCCATTCGGCCATATCTGCCTCAGACGCCATAACACATAATGGCAGACTCTCTGATGCCTGAAGTGGTGATTGTGTGTGTGTGTGTGTGTGGGTGTGTGGGTGTGGGTGTGGATGTGTGTGGGTGTGAGTACGTTGTGTGTGTGTGTACGTCCCAGTAACACAGTTCCCAAAAATCTCTTTCCCGTTCTTCTTTTTTCTCTTTTATCAGTCTGCGTTCTACAATCGCTTTTCCCACTTGTATGTTTCTCCAAACATCTTTTGCTGCTTCCCTCTACTCAAAGAGACAAGGTCAAAGAGTCTTGTATTCGTACTTCAAACTCGTTGCAGTTCTGTTGTCTTCCGGTCTTTCGTTCACCCATTTTGTCCAGGATTACTTCAGAAATGCCTTCAAACCAAATGTATGTATATCTCTTTTATTAACATTTTCTATTTTACACAAACGGTTTATCATTGTACTGATCATTTTCCTATGTCTGTTTGCAGAAAATGAGAGCTACATAGCTCAGCACAATGAATCAAATGATTCTTGTGCTTTTATTTTTTCTTTTACCCCCTCATCCAAAGGAAGGAGCGACTGTAACTACCCTGATTGTGGTGTTAACACCCAGCCGGCTCCTCCCTTCTTCTCCCATCCTCCCTCTCTTTCCCCAGCCTATCTGTGCGAGGCAGTGGTCTGTGAAGAAATTCCCAATATCTAAATTTACACACTGTATCAATCTTGTTTAATAGACTGGAAAGCTTATAGCTGCCGTGGCAAGCCGGCAGAGAGGGCAGTGGTGATAAATTGTCGGTGTGCTAGCGACAGCCGCCTGTGATGTATAATGAAATATTTATGATTTATCCCAGCTAATAAACTGAAATGAAGTGCATGATGTATGGGAACAGATGGGCCCTGTATTGATGCTGAGGTGGAGCAGCAAGGGGGGAAGAGGAGATACCAAGACAGAGGTGTGAGAGACGTTTGAGATGTAGAAAGGTAAAAATGAAGGGTAAGAATGAGATTAAAAGAAGAAAATAAATGTCTCCACACGAGAGAGGGGGGTGGGGGGGTCAGACGCTGGAGCGTGAGAAACTGAAAACACGCTGCTGTATACGGCAAGACGGATAGAGAGATGTAAACTAAATACTAATAGGATAAACCTGCAATGACACCAAACAGAGTGTGCAGATAAAACGCTATATTATTCCTACATGCTTCACTCAATATTTCAATGTTAGGCTGCCAAGAACTGGTATTGTCCATTGAGAAAAAAAACTTGATTCTTATCAGGCTAGGAAAAAAAATGGTATTGTATGATAAGTTGATTATGGAAGAAATAGGTTGCTTTCATATTTCAAAGGTATTTAAGCCTTTCAAAAAACACAGCTATAGAAAGAAAATTACCATATTACATCTTGTTTGCTTCTAATGAAAATTAAGATGTTAATCTAGAGATCATTCTGCTTTGAGGCTTTTTATGAAATTCATAGCAAAAACAAAAGGAACATCAAGCACATTCTTATCTGGCTTATTATATCGCTATAAGAAGTAATTAGTCTTTCTGTAACACTGCTTCCCCACAATTTGATCCTAAAAAACGACATTAGAATGCAAGGCAAATAATTCTGGTGGAAAAAGGCTATTTTGGGTTGTATTCCTGGATCAATCCATCTTAATATCTTCTTATTGGACACATTGAGGTGACACCAGCAACACATTTCAGCCTTTTTAAAGGGACCTCAAGATATGTAAAATGTGCAAATGTTGTTGTTCTAGTGAGTTCTAGATGTTTCCAGGAGTATCCGCTAATGTCTTGCAAACTTTGAAAAACCTTTCTTTTCTTTGTCTAAAGCACATTCTCTGGTTTTCCTTGATGTGAGGAAGCTTTGGCTCCACACTGAGCTCCCTCTGAATGACAAAGATCTTTATTATCTAAGCAAAGCTGTGATACTCTAGACGGAAATCTTTTTACACTTGTTCTTTTGTCCATGATCCATAACTCGTGGCCATAGTTTATGAACTTTTATTAGCCAATAAATTCAGATCAAAATTTTAGTCCGTGGCAACAAGAATTGCATCTAAGCGATTCTTTCCGATTGCAGACTTTTCCGATTGTGATATTGCCTTTGACAATGCATTGTTCAGCTCTAGACATGGGTTTAGGCGTAGCAGAAGGAAACTGTGTTTGGACTTGGACTCCTTTGTTCTCCACCCAGTGTTCAGCTGCAGCTCCGGGTGAATGCTGACTCCTTAGACCGGTTCTTAACTCCGACACTCTGCTTATCTCCACCGCCGTGTCTCGATCACATCCATCCTCCTGGTACCAGCTATCCTGAAAGTAGCACCTGTAATAGCCTAAAAGGACATCTTCCCATTCCATCTTTTTTTTTTTTCCATCACCACCTTTGTCCATTTTTCTCTCCTTTTCTTGCTCTCCACTCATCCATACTGACCCACTTCCTCCTCTCGTTTTCCCCAGACCCAGCTGCGTCCCTTATCCCATATACTTTACTCTGCTACACCTGGCCCCCAGACACCTATGTGTGTGTGCATCTGGAGGATGTCGGGAGATCTTAAACACTCATCTATTCGCTGCACTCCGACTTTCTCTGCCTCACACACACATAATCACTTCCTTACCTAAAGATACAAATCTCTGGCTTTCTTATTTTTATGTTTTTCACATGCACTGCTCTGTTTTTTTTTTTAGTATATTTTTACTGAGACTTCTCCCTGAGTCAAATAATTCCCTGTGTTTAATGAAGCCAGAAGCTGCTAAAAGTGTAAACACGGTTGACCTGTTTTAAGCACAACCAGAATATAAGTGCTACTATGGCATGGAAATCTATTTTTACATAAAAAGATTTAATTTTGAACTTGAATCTTTTCCCTGTTCCCAAACTACGGCAGACAGATCTTCCTGTCTTCTACACTAATCTTTCTCTGAGCAAGTGATTGGCCGCAGTCGTTTTTGTTGCTTTCATGGTGCCACGGCGTGTCTTTTTGCATTTCTGTCTTAGGAGACACAGCAGTCTACAAAGATGGCGTCTACTGGATCTTGGGCCGCACCAGCCTCGACATCATCAAGAGTGGTGGCTATAAGATCAGCGCCCTCGAAGTGGAGCGACACCTACTGGCCCATCCAGACATCGTTGGTAAGTACTGTGCAAACTTTCATTGAAAGAAATTGTTTTATTGTTGTTAATTCTAAATTACTCGATGCACACTGTTGGTCAGCTGGCTGAAAGGTTGCCCTACTATCTATCTCTTTATTAAAGTAACTCTGTTTGAAAGTAACAGTTTACACTGTAAGCATCTTTTGCACATTACCTGAGCAGATAGCTTCACTAACCACCTGGTTAATATTAGCTGGGTATAATGTTTCCTGATTTTACTCAGTTCCTAAAAGTACAAGTCAGACTGGTGGCACTTATGAACGTAGTTAAAAAGCTAAATATTTTTTGATTATTTGATATTTAAGATCTGCATTTTTTTTCATGTAATTTCATAAACTTAGATGGCCAATGCAGTTTGTATTTTATTTGTCACACTTCTTATTTTTAGATTTAGCGATTATTTCATTAACGTATTTCTGTTTGTTTCTGTGACTTAGATGTGGCTGTGATTGGCGCTAAAGATGCTATGTGGGGTCAAAAGGTCACGGCCGTGGTGCAGCTGCAGAAAGGCCGACATTTAACTCTACCAGAATTAAAGACCTGGGCAAGGTAATGTCTTCAGTCTGAGCTCCATATCTTTTATTACTTGGCTTTTCAGATTTTTTCATCTATGCAGACTTTCAGAGTCACAATAAATATATGATTCATTTAGATGATGACCTTTTCAGGCAATGGGGCTATTTACTCTTTTTTGTCAAATGAAGAAAAAGAGTAAATTTTTGGCACAGGAAATGAAACAAGCCTTCATTCAGAAATATCAGAAGATCGTTTTCAATCTGAGTAATACTGATTAAACACAAAAATGACCAATGAGGTGCAAACATGACCTTGTTTAAAACAATATCATGATACAAATCTTCACAAATTAAATCTAATGAAATGATTTAGAAAGCTTTGGTTATAGTCACATCATTGTTGTAGCTCCACCAACAGTGTTGTAGTCAGTAGCAGCTACAATAGAGTTTTATTTGAAAAATTGAGATTTTTTTTTTGTGTGCTTAAGTTATGACAGAAAACTGAGAAACAACAAACGTGTGGCTTGTTTTATCGACAACTGGTAAAAAATACAATAAAAAATGTCATAAAAAAACAAAGAAATGGAAATGGTTTTTTACATGAAAATGGTGGGCTATGTTTGGAAAAAAAACAGATTTAAAAAGTCAAACTAACAAATTGGTCTCTGATTATTAAGCTCTAAGGTTCAAACATTTACATCAGAGCATTTCTTTCTTATTATTTATAGTATATTTTAATATATGGCAAGCAAAGAAATTCTCCAGCAGCGATTCAGATGTTCATGCTCCACATTTCAATATTTGCTAATTATAGATTAATATATCTGGAGTGGAGGAACAAAATAAGTTAAGTGGAAGTTGTTTTTTATACTCAAAGTCTAGAAAGTTTACCACCTGCTCTCTTTCAAACTGTGGCCACAGTTTGACTCAGACTCACACCACCAGTGGAGCCTGTGACCTAAATAACTTCTGACCAATCCATCATCCTAAGCCTGCAACAGCAACAGACCGCCATATCCCACTATCACAGAGGTGTGTTTTTATTTGATACTGAGCTGTTATTCATGGAAGCCAAACTGAAGCCGCTAATACAGAGAAGTCCAGCTCTCAGATTCCCTCTCACCGACCCTGAAGTTCTCGCATTAATTGAAAAATATGTGCAAGAATAAGAAGCCGCAGTCGGACTAGTAAAGAGAAAGAAGAGAAAAAAGGGGAAGATAAGCAAACAGTAAATTGCTATGGATGTCAAACATTTCCTCCTCCTTTTCTGAATGTCAGTGGAGTTTGTTTATTTGTTAATTATTTATTCTGGTGTAATGAAACATGTTTTTTGTAACGACGTTTACATTTCATTGGGATTGTTCCTTTTAATGTTTGAACTGTTTTCCAGTTGTTGGTCCCAAGTGATCAACAATAATTGGTGCTACATTTAGAAAAATGATCAAATGTTATTAGTGTGTGCAGTTTAGTCTCACATGTGCATCACCGGACCGGCAGCACTTTGAAGAAGTTGTATGCCTTGCCATGATTTTGAAGTAGGGGGTACATTTTAAATATTTACCAAAATGTTTTGCAAAGAAGAATAAAAAAAAAAAAAAAGATGTTCTTAGTTTTTAATAAACCCACTTCACCCTAATGAAATCTATGAAAACAGAATGTCTTCAGAAGTCACCTATTTAGTAGAGTCCAATTGTGTGTAATTCTTATCTTATTAGAAGTACAGCTGTTGTATGAAGGCCTCAGAGGTTTATTAGAGAACATAAGTGAGCAAACCACACCAAGAAGACAGAAGATGGAAGAGGAGTAAAGTAGTGGAAACAGGTTAGAGCAGGGTTATGTTATATAGCAAATACTAAATCCTAGGCAAGGCAAGGCAAGGCAACTTTATTTATATAGCACCTGTCAGCCAAAGACAACTCAAAGTGCTTGTACAAGAAAAATAAGGAATACATACTGTTAGAAGAAAAAAAAAAACATACAACCTGAGCTGTACAGCTCCTCCAAAGATCAGGCGGGTCTTTTGGACGTGGCTCTGAAAAATGCTGTCCTTCTCTGCCTTGTCTGGTTTCCAGTTCTGTTATAGAGTATGTATCAAATCAATCTCTGTCCTTAAAATTCTGCACACAAATACAGTCTGTGATTTTTTTGTGTTCAAAATTTTAATCATTCCTTTATTAGTAATTACAGCCAACTAAACGATTTAGTTACCTGACCTTTTTGACGAAGACAATGCCGGTTTGTGAGTGTATGCAGCAATAGATTAAAAGCAAAAATAAACAAAACAAAAACAACATAAATTTCCTCTCCATTCAGGAATCCCGTTAGTGACATAACCTGTTTGCATTATTTACGAGCTCAGGTTTGTCCAGGCTGACGGCTCCATACGGAGTCTAGATGTTAGATCCCGCTGCTTCAGCCTGGTAGAGTAGCACCACTGCCGGTGACCCAGGTTGACACGTTGAGGCTGAACTGCAAACATACGCATGGCACAGCGTTCACAGCCGGGGGTCCTGCCAGCGGAGCCGCGGTGCCAACACGTTGCCGAGTCCAGAGTGTGGAGGAAACAGAGGCAGATAAAATGAGACATAAACAAGGAGATGGATGCTCACTCTTCAGTGCCCTGGCTTCAGCTGTCACTCTGAATCTGAATCACACCCACTGTGCTCTGTGGCGTCGTGCACACACACTCACACACTCACGCTGCCCGGAAGAAATTGGTGACATGAGCAAGCCATGTCACAGAAACATGTATGGATGCACATTTACTCAGACTCTCCTCCCTGAGTCAGACAGACGGAGACATCTGCTGAAAGGAGTGTTTGATGGCAGCCGTATGACTCATTATGTTCACTCGCACAACAGCAGCACACACAATAACACGCAAACAAACAAACTAGGTTAGAAGATAATAAGAACTGCTCCAGGCTTAAAGACTCAACGCAACAGCCAACCACTGAAAACCGAAAAATAAAACACTTTTAATTATCACAGCCTTCTGTTTTTCTCTTTATTATTTGCTGAGGTTTTTTTTCATCTCGTTTTGATTATGCTGCTTTGTATGAAGGGAATTGTCTGTGTCTGGAAGGGAATTGGGGATATTAAGGCAGAGAGCTGCAGAGCGCATGAAGGACGTTTCTTTCCTTATCTCAACTACGCTGCCATGGGGCAAGCCTTTGTTTTGGCAATTGTTTTTATTTTTGTGTTGTTGTTTTGATGTTGCATTAGTGTGCGCCCTCACCCATTCACGTCGGTATATTTGTCAGCCTTGTGCTCCTTATGACTGTTTATTCTTTTTTTGCATTTTCCCCCCTAAACAGTCATCTGTGTTTAAAGCGTCTTGTTTATTACAGGGAGCACATGGCGCCCTACATCATCCCGACAGGCCTAGTCTTGGTGGAGGAAATGCCGAGGAATCAGATGGGGAAAGTCAACAAGAAGGTCCTCCTGCGACACTTTTCTCCATGACTGGACGTCTTTGATGTCTGTGAAAGCGTGGGTGTTTCTTCAAGTACACATCTCTTCCAGGATACTCCGTCCAGATCAGACAGATGTTTCACAGTAATGTAGTGAAAGGAAACAGAACAATGGTTAATGTTCGCTGGAAACCAATCACAGCTCCCAAAACTGCCATAGAGATAAATCCGGTCTTGTTTCTCAAAACAGTTACTGTTTAAAAGACTTGGATGAAATAGAATAAAGTCGCTGCATGATGAGGGCAGTGTGTTAAAAATTGGTTTGCAATTTGGAAAGAAAGGAAGAAGTATTCAAATCTGCTTCCAAAAATGTGTGTTATGTAACAAAAGGTTTTAAAAAGTACTTTGTGTATTCCCTTCATTGAGTAGAAATGTTTGCTTGTTCTCTGAATTGGTTCTGGAAAGGATGGATTTTTTTTTTCACTGTAAAATTGCAAAAGCCTAAGCAAACACTTTCATACATGAACTTTTTCACATTTTGTGAAACACCAACATATCTAATTGGGATATGGTGAGTGAGCACCATTCAACATTTGCTATGACATTTTAGGTGAAAAGCCATGTCAGTGTTCATAGAACGGATCGATTCTCTGTGACGTTTCAGCATCCAGATATTGTTTTCTAACCTAACTGTGCTTTAAACTCCACTGCTTTCTCCTGCTGTGTTCATTGGTCTTCATGATGATGGTTGCTCACTAATGTCAGGGCTCACTTTTTAGATTTTCCTTCCACTTTACAATTATGAATCTCTTGTCAATTTACTGGATTTAGATCCCAATCAGATGGGATCTAAATCCAAAAGGTTTGCAGTTCTAATGTGCCAAAATGAGAAAAAGTTAATGAGATATGAAAACCTTTTTAAGTGGTTTAATTTAAGCAGAAGCAACATTGTTCATTTTTAACATATTGCCTTTCCATCATAGAGGTATTGCTGCATTCAATAACATGAACCACTGTAAATCTTTAGCATTTACACAGAACATTTTGCGTTGGACTCATAGCACATGGCAGTGTGAAACTTCATAGGATGAACTTTTGGGATTGAAGTTTTATGTAAACACAAATGTTTTGCAATGGGCTTTACTTGCAATATTTCTTAAAAAAGAAAAAAATCTAATGATGAACGTAATGTAAAAGGAAAAAAGTTCAGAAGAAATGAATGATGGCGGTCGACACTATTGTAAAATTCACTGCTCTGAAGCCATCATGATTTTCTCAAGATGATGCGCATAAATAAAATTAACAACAGATAATCTTGTTCTAGATTAGAGAAAAATTCCTTTGTCTTTGTAAAAAAAAAAAAAAAAAAAAAAGAATCACTTGAATATCTGTACATAAAACAATTAAAAAATTTTGGAAATGTATCTAAAGTTACCAACTTTCTTATGCATCTGTCTCCTCTGCATGCTGTTACACGGTTTCCAGAATGTGTGTGTGTATAAATTTGGCTACACAGGTGTGATGAGAGCTCAAAAACAGCTTCTGCAGCAAGGCAAAACACCACAGCTGGATGCCCCGCACTCCATCTCACTAACCCTCTCACCCCGCTCGCTCTCCTCGCCTCTCATCCTTTCTCTTCTCAATTTATCCAATACTTCGCCTCTTCTGTCTTCATCACAAGTCACAGCAGATTGTTGCAGCACACGGATCACCTCGGCTGCCAGATTCCTTCTGAATGAGCCGTGGCACGCTGCCAGAGTAGACGGTGTGTGTGAGGAAATGACAGAAACTGGAGAGAGCGGAGAGAGGACTCTAAGCCAGAATGAAGCGATAACGAGAGAAAGTTGGTAGGAGGGGAGGGATGGGAAGAAAAGACTCATGGAGTTTTCAGTAAGTGTGCAAAGTGAAGTTGGCGACGAAGTAGAACAGAAATCAGGTTGAGATAAACAGTCATGTCATGATGAATGGGCAGAGAGCTGAAGATGGAAAGATATAGAAGTGCAAGCCCCAGCTGATATGGCCTCCTGTCCGCACACACATGTACACACTCATCCGCCCACAGCCACCAGAGACCTGATTAAGAGAGCAGTGCTATCGATCTGTGGGCTGGCAGGGCAGGATGGATGAGCAGTCAGAGGACAGCTCCAATGCCCCTCAGGTTCCCCACCTAGCAAGACACTCAAGTCCTTGGCTGGAGCCACTAGAAGGAGGCCTGGGTTTGCAGAAGCATCTCGTGTGTGTTTGAAGGTTGTGCTGAGGAAATTTTTCTAAATCAAAGAGGAATGGGGGGAGGGAATCAGACAGGCAAAGGGTACTGCTCTTGTACCCTTGAACTGCCTTCACCTCTTCTTTTTGTCTCCTCAACACACACATTCAACCACCTTCTGCCTTTGTTTGCTGGAGCGCAGTGAAAGAGGTTGTCTGCAGATGGCTGCTTATTGGGCTCTAGGGTCCTGGAGGGTGGGGCCGGTAGGGATGCCGTCAAGGTTGTTTAAGACAGAGAGACAGGGAGTGTGTCAATGGAGTGCAAAAGGTTTTTCAAAAATGTTTTGGTTTTACAAACATTCGGAAAGAGAGTTTCAGTCTTTGTGTTTTCACATCGTATGCAAACCTGCCTGCAAGGGCTGAACATTGATCATGTCCCATCAAAGGCTACAAAGTGAGAGTTTTTCATTCACACACTGTAAAAACACAAAATCTTACCAAATATTTTCGGTCTAGTGCAAATATCATAGAGGACTTGAAATCAGACTAAACTACCTCGTCTGTAACTTTTCTGCACTGTATAGGAGCTTGTTTTAAGTAATTAAACGTACTAGTTTCACTAGCAGATTAATTGACTTAGAAGAAGACATTTTCCCATCTTATAAGTGAAATAATTTGCCAGAGGAACTAATAATTTTTCATCCATATTAAGGAATTATTAACTTGAAACAAGTCCTTGTATGTTCCTGAAAAGTTACTTATATGTTATTTTTTAGAAACTAGATAAAAAAAATGCTTGATGAGGTTTTGTGTTTTTTTGTGTCTGGTTTTCCTCTGAGGAAGAAAAAAAAACTACAGAGAACCTTCATAGCTGTTATGAAGGATGGAGACGGTTTGGTGCTCAGTTGAGGGAGATGATCAGCTGAGAGAACTCTAAAGACAGAAGCTCACAGAAAATACCGGAAATGTATGCCCCATTAAAATGACACAGTCATATGCTAACATGTTTTATTTAGTGTTGCATTTTTGTGTATAAAGGTGCCCAACGTGTATTTCTATTCTGGTCGACTTGATGCAAAAATAAAGCCCCAAAAAGCTTCATGTTTGTGATTTCACAAATAAAAAAACAGGTTTTGTACAACTTGAACATTGAGTAAAGCATGATGCAGTGTTTTAGATTTTGAACTAGATTTGTTCAGGGACGCTCTGGCCATTTACTCATATTGTACACATCAAAACACAATGAGCAAAGTGGGATTTTTCATTTTCTTTTCTGTAACTATTGCACTGAAGTCATGACTTATAAATCTTTTCAATCCTGGCTCTCAGATCTTCTATTAAAATTTACTGAGCATTGCAAGCCGATTTCCCATATTGTGAAGTTAAAGTCGCTTCCAAACTTATAGCGTACATGTCCAAAGTATTTATAAAATATGCTCATATTGTCACTGTTTGTAGAGCCTGATTCACAATGCAGAGAAGTCAGCAGTGCAGCAGCGCGCTCTCTGAGGACTTGGACGTATATTTTATGTTATTTTGACACACATCCTCTCACTGTAACGCCGCAGACATCTCTCTGCTTGCCACTCTTCTCTGAACATGAAAGCCATCCATCATGAATGATTCTGGAGGAGAACAAAGTCCCTCCCTCTTCTCTTTAAACTGCATAATAAACAGGTCAGACTCAAGTAGCGAGACAAACAAACACAGTAGCTTCTGGATTCGTGGCAAAGTGTTCATACGCCGCCGTGCTGTTTTACATTCCAGAGGCAAACAGAAAATGGGGCTATAATTATACAGTCAAACATTTACATGCACACTTTTGACAGTCACAAAAGGCCCTGTGCCCGCGGCTAGTTGATCAACTTGACAGGCTTTATGAATGTAAGTGGGCAGAGAGCCAGAGTGATGGGAGGATGACAGGGAAGGCTCATCAGCCCCAGGGACACCCAAGTTTACATACACACATGAGTGGATCCAGAGTGCCACTAGGCCTGTGTGGGTGCTTAACCGATGCTTGTACTGGCAGGTTGTTGTTTATATGGAGCTCATGTTTATTCTAAAGCTACTTACACCTCACTGGCTCAGCCTTGGGCTTCTCTCCTGTGAAACTTCCTCTGAATCGCTCTCTGTTTCCATGCTGCCTTTTATCCGTTGACATTTTACTCTTTTTCTTATTCTACGACTGTCTTACCGTTTTTCTTCCCCACCTCTTATTGCTATGTGTCATTGAGATGTTCCACAATGCGTTTTCAGCCTCACTAGCAGCGTCGCTTGAGGCCTGAAAATGTCGCTGTGATGGGCAATCTATCCCTGTAGCATTAATAGAAATATCCTCATGAGCTCTTTGATGAACTGGCAGGAAATATTTGTTTGAAAATTTTCAATCGTCAAAGTTTGAATGCTGGTGGATTTTTGATTCAAAATCTATATAAAGAAAAAGAAACACAAAATGATCCCTCTGACTTTCCCTTTAAGATCTTTATGAAGTTGGTGTTGATGCAATAACTTCATGTTAGATGCTGAAGAACGTTGTCCTCATCCAACTTGAATATCAATTTGTGCAATCTTGTAGTGGAGATACACCTTGCTAACATTGCGCATTTTTTTGTTTGCAAAACACAATGTTTTCCTAACAAAAAAGAATTACGTTTTCTAATAGGCTTGTAGTAGAAAAGTTCAAATAAGTTACTAAAAACTCCAAATCAATGGCAATTTTTGTCCAAGGTGAGTTTTTGAAAACGAGCTATGCTGCATGCAAAATTTTACTCCAGCACTTTCTTGTTAAAATAAAGAGGCTAAAAAGTTTTTAAAGAAAAAAACAAAAAAAACAAAAAAACAGATCAATACAGAATAATCATGTTCTAGCACTCATAACTCGGCCCACTCAACAATGGAGAGAGACAAGGTCATGAGAGAATAAATAGCAGGCAGACTAGCTAATGATCTATCATTCTGGACAAGCGGCTGCACCAGAGAGCGGGCTGGCTGACAAGATCATTAATAAAAGCTGCTGGGAGAGTGATCGATCGGCTTGATGGATGATCAGAGCCACAAATACTATAAAACACCTGGATGTCAAGCCTCGTCTCTTTGAAGGGAGGGGAGCCTTCGCCCTCCGACAGGGGAGTCGTCAGACGAGTTCAGATGCTCAACTCATCTACTGTGCTGGAAAATGAATGCAGTTTTGCATCTCCCCGCGTTGGATTTAGTGCATGCAGTAGCGCGGTGAAGTGTTGCGTTCTCCACTCTCTGCAGTCAGACAGCGTGTGTTGTAGCTCAGAGAAGCTCAGTGTGAGAGCATCAGTGTAATTTCAGGTAGATCAGGGAGTCAGCAGGTGTTGTGCCATGCAGGCTGCAGCAGCAGTCTATCGCTCTGTAATGGGAGGTATTCATTATTGACGTGCTCCTTTCACGCCATTACTGAGCTCTGTGGTGGTAATCCGTGTCTCCTCTATGTATCTCCGCTCCCTCCCGGCCTCCGTTCTCTCTCTATCTACAGTATCTGCCAGCGTGCTACAGTGTCTCTTTTGTCATCAGCGCGCACACACACACACACACACACACATACTCAGCAGCTCACACGCCTTACTCAGCAGCTCATCTTGATTCTTAATCTTTTCAGAGAGAAGGAGAATGAGTTCAGAAGGAGAGGAGTCTCCTTGCATGGCTGCTTGTATCAATATCTGTACATTGATCTGGCCTTGCCTCTCCTCCTCCATTCATCCAGATATAGATTGGTTTTCCCAGCAGGTATCTCTGCCTATAATCTGACAGATGGGTGGAGTGCATGAGGGAGGGTGTATTGAACCGGGGTGGGGGGCAGGGGGACTGTCGTCTCACATGCCACTGGAGTGTGTTAGACTGCTGAACAAAAAGAAACAGGGAGGGGACATTGGGTCCCGGAGCTAGGATCACTTTTATTTGTTTGCAGACCAATACAGTTGGAAAGATAAAGAGTTTATGGCTCATTTTTATTATTCGGCTAACTAAACTATTCTGAATTTGATTTTTGATGCTGCATAACTTTGCTTTAAGTGAAACAATGATCAATAAATAACCATGTTTACCAAAAACCACCGCTCCATGGAGATAGATATTGACTTCTGGTAGAAAGGAGCATCTGATTACATTTCTTTACTACGTTCTGCAATGCCCATACTGTCCCATCACAGACTGAGGGTTTATTTTATTAAGCTCTCTTTCTGTTATCACAGCTTAATAATAACCATAATGGTTATTTTCCTAAAATGTGTAAATATTACTGCTGTGTCTCGTTTCAGTGGACTTTAACAGTATAAACTTTATTTTAGACTCACAAAATAACACAGAGACTATAGACTGTCTACAAACATCATTGTTTCCATTTATCTCTAAATGCTCTATTCACCTCTTGCAACAATTATTCCCTTTTCTCCATTCCATTCCTAATTAGTTTTAGTTGTTTTATATCACTTTTTTTATACATATTATACTCTTCTTGGGAAAACAGAATGTCTTCAGTCAGAGGCTTCTTCAGATTGGCTGTAATACAAACCGCTACAAGAGATCTTTGCTGCCAACAGCGATCACTATCTTCAATAACTCTTTGAAGAATTAGAATTATTATGAGCTACAATAACATTTAATTTCCCTTTGGGATCAGTAAAATATTTTTTGAATTTGAATATATACATAAAACAAAGATATCTGTCATGGTACCACCAACCAGGCATCAGTTTGTATCCGACAGAAACTTTTTTAACCGCCTTGACAAACACATTTTTCTGTTTTCATTTTATGGTTCACTCTAAAGAAATGTGATGCAGGTAAATGTCCATCAGCAGGAGGTTGCTTAGTTGCTTTTAATCAGACATAATCTGTTTTATGTAATAGTAATTAACTGTGCGATACCCAAATGGGTATCAAAATCAATGTACATGGAAGCAGAGTGTTATACAAAGTCTTGATGAAATTGAGTTAGATTAAAATATATTTGACACGACAGACCGGTACCGCGCCCACTTCACAGCAGACGCTGCCCGAGATACTTAACTACGTCTCTTGGGGCAGGACACCCCGCCGACCCGGAGAAGGCTTTTCCAGCTCAAGACCAGGGCCTCAGATTTGGAGGCATTGATCCTCATCCCGGCCGCTTCGCGAACCACTCCAGCGAGAGCTGCATATCACAACCTGGTGAAGCCAGTAGGACCACATCATCCAGAAGAAGCAGAGGTGTGATCCTAGGGCCACCCAAACGGATCCCCTCAACGCCTTGGCTGCGCCTAGAAATTCTGTCCATGAAAGTAAGGGTGGCTGGGCTCTTTCTTAGAGATGGGATGAGAAGCTCGGTCATCCGGGAGGGACTCGGAGTAGAGCCGCTGCTCCTTCACATCAAGAGGAGCCAGTTGAGGTGGCTGGAGCATCTGGTCAGGATGCTTCCTGGACGCCTCCCTGGAAGGCGTCCAGGGAGGCCTTCCAGGGAGGAGGCATCCTGACCAGATGCTCCATCCTGACCATGGCCAGAACACCTGGGACATGGCCAGGTGTTCTGACCATGTCCCACCAGGAGGAGGCCCCAGGGTAGACCC